TTTACTTAAAATTTAATTAATACTTACTTACTTTAATTACATTAATTAATTTAATTAAATACTTTTCTTAATTTAATGACAACTAACCCCTTCCCCCTAACGAACTCAGAATATCCAAATTGTTCAGCAAATTTTTCTGCTTGCACTTTTAGAATTGGTCCACTCACAGGTAAATCAGCACTACGTTGCACCTTCATCCATTTCAATAACGCTTCGTCCAAATCCTTTTTCAAACACTTCTTAAGTCGTTTACAGTCTGTTTTATTTTGGTCGTATGAATCCATTAAGTTGCCTTTGTTTTTTAGCAGTGTGAAAACAGTAGATGAAAACAATCCATACCTTTTGCAGATTTCGACTTTTTTTAACACAGTCATCCAACTCCCGTAAATTTTTTACTTTTTCGTCTACCGATAAAGCTTTAAATTAGAGCGATAAGGACAATTAAGTTTCAGTTCGCGTGTTGTTTTTTTTTTCTTTCTGATTACTCGCACATTTCTTATCATTTTGAAAAAAAGATGAGACAGAAAGACTAGAAAGATGAGAAAAAAGATTGCAAGACAGAAAAATATTGCTCGTTAAAAGCGACTTCTGTTCCATAGACTTAACATTGATCCAACCAAATATTCTCGTTTCCCTCGGTAAATCCGAGCTCGTTATAAACGAGTTCGACTGTATTACCAAATATAACAATAAAATTTCCTTTGCTATTTTTAAAACAGTTTTTCGAATGAAAGAGGAAAAAAGATTGCATTGAGTAATTAAATTTGAATCGCCCTGTTACTGGAGAAATGAAAAAGATGTTATGTTTCGTTTTCCTAACTTACTTTTATTGATGAGCAGAAGGATCTGAGTTTAATTATTATGAATTTGGATATTTTATTATTATGGATATCATAATACCTCACGCAAACATCGAAATATTACTGAAATTCAATTAAAAATACTTTTATTTCACACAATTATCCAATACTTTTATTTCTCACAATGATCAAGGGGATTTTGCTAACATTTTCATCCTTATTCCCATTTTTAATCTTCTTTTTTCTTCCTTCATAACATATTATCCATCACTTAAAACCATTGAGAAGAATTTTCTTTTTTTAAAAACTTTAAATGAAATTGTATAAAATAAACTTTTCAGCTTAGATTAGCATAAGTTATAAATGACTATTATTGTGCTACCATCTGCCGATGATAGAGAGAATCACCGTCTGGGATATGGTGAATAAGATAACAATTTTTTTTAAAGGCATCTGTCATAATCTGAATAAATATTCCAAAACTTTTTTAAAATTTTAAAAAAAATCATTCATTTGATTTTTTTAAATAATTGCAAATGGAAATATGTCAGTTGTATATATGCCCCAAATGTCATAAAGTAGTCAGACCATATATTACTAAAGACTGGCATTTTAACTTCATATAGTTTTAAGCAATTAATCTCTTCCATATGATTCTATTATTTCCAAATGTTCAGCAGATTATTTTATGGTTATAAAACTCTAAATTTCCTGATTTGCAAAGTTATTTGATGCAGATTTTTGTATACAGTTTAAATGTTACCTCAGACCAACATTTGTATTGATTGTATAATATTTTTTTCAACATAATTGTTAATATATATTTAAAATGATGCATATGTTTTTAATTTTATAAATAGTTTTATTTTATGGATGAAAAAATTTTAAATGCTATTCGTTATCTTCATATCTAAATATTGCACATTATTTTGCCTGTTCATATCTCTAAACAATTTTATATTTTTGAGCAAGATCTATCATCTCGATAAATACAATCAAAATCTATAATCATTTTATGAATTGTATTTTTCTTTTTTAAATTTTATATTTCTTTCAAGCATCGATTGTTTTTTTTTTCTTTTAGAAAAATTAATAAAAGTTAGTTGAATTATTTAGAATCTTATTGCTTACACTATTCATTTGAATTATTTCGGCCATAATCTGTATTATCCACAATTTTTTTTTCGAGCGAAAAATATTTAAGTGCTTACAATGACTAACAATAATGAGAATTATATTCTATAGAAGATATTAACTCAGGAAAATTTAATTTTCATTTTATTAATAAGCATTTATTTGATATAAATTAATTATAGTTACATCTAGTAAAAAAGTAAAAAAAAATTGACCTCATTGGACATTAAAAAACAGCAACCTAACAACAAAAGTGTTATTTTCGAAAACATAAATAAATAAAACAATCGCCCACTGCGCTCCCACGGTTACTCAAACTGCAAATATCTTCGGGTTAAAGTTAGTTAACTCTGGGTTGCAGTAACTGGAAGTTACGTACACTGTGAAATGAAATTTTGGAATGTAACCTGGAGTTGCTCTCATAAAACCTGTTTTGAACTGTGACTGAAGGTTATGTACATGGTGAAAGGAAAAATTTTGGAATGTAACCTGGAGTTGCTCTCATAAAACTTGTTTTGAACTGTGACTGAAGGTTAGTGTCCAGAGTGAATACAGGCGTAATTGTCATGTGTAAGGTTTATGTAAGATTGGAGGCAGCATAATGTCTTCATTTTTAGCATAATTTGATACTTGTGAATGTCCATCAAGGTAGATCATCTAAAAATAAAAATTTATTTATGAGGTGATTCTATGTACGAAACTGAATACTCTTAATTTTTTCTTAAGGTTTTTAAATAGGAAATAGTTTTTTCATGCTTGTCAGAAACCTTAATAGAAGATAAATTTTTTCATGAACATTTTAATTTCTTATTTTTAAAAAATCTATTGTAGCAATTATTTTTGCAAACAATGAAAAAAGTACCTTATAGTTTTATCAAAACATGATTTAACTATTCTTACTTCCTTTTTATTACCGATATCTCTTTAATTATTTTTAGTTAATAAAATATCCATTTGTCATGCAAATAATTTTTTTCAAATTTAGTTAGACATAAAAAATAGAATTAACCCCTGCAGTAAATTAGATTTTTTTTTTTTTTAATCTGTTTGGTACTTTGTCTAAATCTTCTTGTACTAAACCTTTAAAACTTTTTACTACTAAGTAAAAACAGTGTATTCTGCACATACTGAACAAAATATTTGAAATTTTATTTAAACAATTTAACAAAAGTTTGTTTTTAATTTTAAAATTTTAATGTTTTAGTACAACAATTTTTAAAAAGTTAAAGCTGATTTTGATTGTATGTTTTTGCTGTTATGTAATTAAATTATAATTGATAACTTTTCAAACTACGCAACATTTGTCTGTTACTAACCAAATTATATTTACCTTTTGTTATACTTTTTAAAATGCTCCTTTTTCATAAAAGGAATGAGAAAAGGGTTTTTGAAAAAGAGCTAATTGATGTCTTATTGTCTCTCAATCTCTCATGAAAATAGCTCATTTGTATTATGAATAGGAGCTCCATGACAAATGACAAAAATTGGCTTTTCCATGACTAGGAGGGGATTAGATTTATTGAAAGATATAAGAATTGTGGAATGGATACCTGAAATGATTTTTGCCTATTTTTATTATTGTTATTTAAAAAGGTTAAATAAAGGCTAATTTTGTTTTCTGAAATAAACTAGAGAGAAAATAAAATTTTGTAAAATTTCCAAATCGCCAGGCTAAATTTGCTGAATCTTAAAATTCTTTGAGAGGTCACAGTGACCTCCTATTCTGGTGCCCTTGCATAAAATATTTATCAAATTTATTTAAATCTTCTGATATCCTTTAATAGGACTTTTAAAAAATTAAGTTGCTTAATAATTGATCTTTTACAAACTTCTCTTTTTTATTAACTTAAAGAATTAGATAAGTGTAATTCAATGATTTTGATTACTTTTTATTGTATTTTTGTATGCTTATTTTTTAATTTTCTTTTAATAGCAAAATGGCCTTTCAAGAAATAAATTATAGTTTAACTGCCTTGTTGGAGAGCACAGAAGCATTTCTTCAAATCCTTCTTGGTGTCCCTGCATATAAAAAAACTAAAAGATATTGTTTGAATCATCCATTTATAGCTGCAGCAGTATTGTCAATTGCATTTTTTTCTCTTGTACCTATGATGTTTTTCTTGGGCTTTATCATCACAACTCTTGCTTTTGCATTACTGTGCTTTTTTTGTATTGAAGGTATTTATTATTATTTTGAACATTTTGAGATAATTCAAAACTCTTTCCTAAAGTTTAATTTGTTAATAAATGTCCTTATGAAACCATTAAAAACAATATTTTTTTTTTCTATATGTAAATCTAGGAAAAACATGTTTTCTTATCCCTAAATTGTGCATTTTTTGGTTCATATGAATTGATTATTAATTAATAGAAATTATCTTTATTTAAAGATTTACGAAAGTCTAACTTGCACTAATCTTTTTATCAAAAGTGCCATTGTTACCAGGGTTTGTAGGATTTTTTTTTTTCGAGGCTGCCAGCTTTTTTAGTTTTTGTAAAAATATACCTTAGTTATAGCTAAGTTTATGTTTTAATGTATCATTTCTTCATTTAATTTATTTCCCACGCCACTACATATGAATTATTTAAAAGTTCATATGCAATGCCACTTTGTTCTAGCTCTCTCGTGGTGAGGTTTTAAAACTTTTGACAAAATTACCAGAAATTCTGAAAGTTTTGGTTTTTATGTCATTACTGAAAAAAATATATGCTTATTTTGCATTATACTATGGGTAGAGCAAGTCTTTCTTCATTATTGATGTACGCTAGCATTTAATAAATTTTAACAGCACTTGTATGTAAATAAACTTGAAACTAAATTGGTATGATTGAAATATATTTATTATGTTCAGTAAAGTACGGTTTCATTTTTGCAGATAAAGGAAAATTTTTACTAACAAGTTTTGTGCCGTTTTTATCTCTTTATAATTTCTTTTTTTTTATGTCTAATTTTACTTTTTTGTAAAAGAATAAAATCCTTTATTTTATAACAGACTCTTAAAGAAGTCATTCTAAAGAAAATATTAATAATTATATTGTAAAAAATTTAGATTTAACTTTATTTTTTTCAACAAAATTTAAATGATTAAATTTTTTTTTTTTTTTAAATAATCAAGAGATCTACAGAACTTTCTTCGCTTTGTAAAACGATGTTTTCTAGTGGTAACAAATTTTAAGTTATTTTTGGTTAGTATATTTCATTTTTAGTTATTTTTCTACCACTTCATATCAAGAATTCAAAGTATCAAGAAATGTAACTTAATCGTTGTAGAAAGCAGAGCAGTTGGCCTCCCTGGATTTAAATCTTTATTTTAATCATTGTTTGTAACTAAAAATAGGCAGAATTACTTTATCATGTGTGTTCATTACATGAAATTTTATTAAAATGGAAAGAGTTTGGTTCAAAAGTGATTACCTGAAAAGAAATGAGCTCACATGAAACTAATCAGTAGTGTGGATAGATTTTTTTTTCAAAGCTAAATGTTGATTTAAATTGAACCCAAATGAAACTAAATAGTGGTGTGATAAGTCCTTCAATTTAAAATAAAAGCTAAATGTAGATTGAAGTTTTTAAAATTTGTTTTTAAAAAAAAGCTAGTCATAATAAGTCTCTTTACATAAATTATAATTTATATTTACAAGCTAAATGTTCTAAAATGAAATAATTATGGGAAATTGTTTTAATTAGAACAATACTTAATAAGAAATAATTTTAAAGAATAAATTTTAAAAACTCAAACTAGGCACGGCTTTATTATACTCAATATTATTTATTTGCTACCATTATGGAAATGAAATTTTGTGGATTTAAACATTTCTTCCAATAGTGTCTAACAATTAAAAAAATTTTGAGTTTTATATCTATGTGAATGAATTGATTCCATGTCAGAGGAACAATCAGAAATTTACAGTTTTTTTATAAAATTGCTTTTATGCATTCACATTTGATACTTAAATGCATAGTAACAAAATATAAGGCATGTCCAGAAAGTAATTTAAATTTTTGAAAAATGTGTATAAATTTTTTTTTTAAACTAAATTTATTTTTTCAAAATTGAGAGAAAATATTTTTCTATGCAACACCAGACCAAGACTCTGCACACACACATATATATATACTTTATATCGTCACTGACGTTGTTCAGGGTTGGTGAAAAAACATGTTTACACCCCTTTTGAAGAAAAATGCTGTTAACAGAGACAGCCACTGCTGAACAGTTTTTCTAATGTGTCAAATCTAATCTGAAAGAATCCTTATTGTTAGCTGTCTGTTTTCATAAATTTTTCTTATTTACTTTTGCATCCACAATTGACAACAAAAGGCTGTCCACTTAGTGTTTTGTCATCCATATTGTTGAACTGTCAAACCTACTTTATTATCATTTGCTCACTCATTAAATTTTCACCATAAATTTCAATTGGCTTAGATTTTTCTTTGTATGTTGCCAGACATGCCAACTTGCTCCGAACAGCGGATAAATATTTTTGACTGGTAGTCTTTTGATGTATGATTCTTGGTTAAATAAATTCTGTTTATTAAATTCTCTGCTACAATGGCGTCAAAGGGCAGAAATCACATTTGCTCAGTGGTAGGATAAAATAGTACTTTCTGGGACACCTTGTATTTTTCATCACATAGGAGTAATAAATTTCATGTCACTTAAGACAAAACTGTGGAATGTTAAATTTTTCTCAGGAAAATCTCTTTATTTTACTGTTATTGATTTATAAATTTTTATTAGGTTCTCTTATTGCTATAAGTGGTCTGATTTTCATTGGAGTTGTGTCCTTCATTTCTATTATTGTGGCAACAATTTTATCAGGAATGGCTATTTTTGTGTGGGCTTTACAGAAGATAGGGATAAGCCTGAGACCTTACAAGTGTGCATCTCAAAGTTTTACTAATCAAAATGAAGGAAACCATGAAATAATTCACGAAGAGAATTCAAACCATACTGAATGAACTGTTCTACCTCATTAATGATCTGATATGTTCTTAATAACCCTGTGATCAATGTTTATGTATTTATTGTACTTTTCAATATTAATGTATTTTTATACAGTATTTTATATTAAACCTATATTTTTGTATATCTCTAGATTTTTTTTTTCAATTTTAAGCTTTTATAAAATGACTGCATATAATTTGTTACGAACTGCAACTGTAACTCCTTATGCTGTCGAACTGCAACCGTAACTCCTTGCGCTGAGGGCAGATATGTGTATGTATTCAGACGAGGAAGTCTAACTTTTTCATCATCACTGAACTTGTAGACATCATATTTCATTCATCGTCATGATTTGTTAATTAGAACAATAAAATGTTCTATTGTTATTCAAATCGGCTGTCATTAGATATTTATCATGAGGTATATTGATGCCAACCCCGGACCCATACATATATAAAAGATTGGTCGTACTGCTTATACATATAGAACATAGCAAGATAAGTGATACCTTTCAATGATTCATTTTTGGAAGTTCGTAGTGGGACCTTCAATTAAAAGCAACATAATGAAATCCCTTCATAATTGGTAAATTCTGATTTTCCCCAAAATGAAACATAACAAAAATAAATTTTATTAATGATTTTTCAATATTCATTTTATTTGCTGCACAATGTAGTTTAAGGGAATTTTAATAATATAGAAAAAATTAGTTTAAAGAAATATAGCTATATATTTTTCTAATAATAATATTCACATAGCCTTTTCATCTATCATATGCAGAGCAGTGATTAAACTGACCCTCCCTCCCTGACATATTTCAAATAAGCATTACCTTTTATCAAGGTAATATTTGTTTTATAAAATTTTTAAATTTATTAATAATCCAGATAAAGTGCTAGAATGAAGATAAGAGAATTTAGTTAAATCAAATTTTATTTAGTTATTAGAGAAAAGGTCTATTTTATTTTACTGAAAATAGACTAAAACGATAGTTTTAATATCAGTTTAATATCTTTATCTTAGAAATCTGTTTTAAAACTTATTTATGTGAATTTCACATATTTAATCTCTTGTTATTGGGCAATTTAAATACCAACTATATAAAATACTAATTAGGTGTAGCCGTTTTAAACCTGGTCTAAAAGATAGCATTTTCTCCTTTGTAGTAGAGTTTGGCAAAATTAATCAGTGAGTGTTTAAATATTGAATTGATAAACATAATTTATTAATAAAAATAACTTATAAATATGTTTTTACATTTTTAAGCTGAGATAAAATGTGCATTGTTAAATTGCAGCAATGGTAAAACCATATTTGAATGCATTTAAAAAAAAGAGCAAAAAGCATGTCGATTCAAGTTGAAATCTTCACGAAAGCGATTACTCAATTGCGCAGTCATTTTACAGTTCAAATAAAAACATGATTTTAAAAACTGATTCATAGCTATCTATAACTGCTAGAAAAACAGAGAGATCGGTTACGATAGGATGGAGTCAAAAAGTGATGATTTTAAATTCGAGATTTGTGTTAAAATAGTATCTTAAAAATATAGGGATTTTAAAACCATTTGGATATCTATCCTAATAACTGCTGAAAAATTACTGAATTTACTATTAAATTGAGTACATTAAACAGATTACTTAACAGCATTATTGAGGTTGAACTTTGTTAGACTGAAATATAAAAGTCAAGACTGAACACAAGTATTTATTAAACATCAAGTATGACAGAAAAGAGCATGTTTTCCTGTTGTTTTAAAGGTAAAGAATGGTCAGTGCATGATTGTGAACCTAAAATTCTTATTTCTTGACAAGCACGATTTAAAATTCACATGACCTAATGTATACCTAGACCGAAACTAAGTAGAAATTTGTAGAATGACTGCCAAAAACCTACTAATATAGAATATAATACATTTTTTTCATTACTTTGGTCTCGTAGTCTCACCATTTTTATTGGCCTATCTGAAATGTGGATCCCTTGAGCAGAAGATGAACTGTATTTATCAACATAAGTAAATAATTTGGATAACCATGATATACAAAATAAAATTTGACAATGCAGATTTTGTGCATGCTACCTCTATTAACAATTAAATAATTATTTTCGGTGTTGGCGACATTATAGCATATTATTTAGAAAAATAGGTCCAAAATGTTCAAGTTAATATGTGTGTCAAACATCAAAACAATCCTTAATAACCAGGTGCCTGTCCAGGCCAAATTTACCACGGTAACTTCACAAATTCAACTTTAGGAAAAATAGTAGTTTCACAAAATACTTTTTCTTAAAATTTTTTGTATCCCATAAGAAACAATAAATCCATATTTTTACTATATTTTTGTGTTGATTTTTTAATTTTCATAAATTATGTCTAAATTTTCACAAAATAGGTACTTCTCAGAAAAACCTAGATAGACCTCCGATAACTGAATTCAGGGATGTAAGAGCAGCATAATCATTTTGGAACAGAAAAAATGTGGTTTGAAGAATATTTAATTTTTGGAGCAAATAGAATTAAATTATAATAAAATTAAATTTCTGAGCACATAAATATTTTATATCATACTAACAGAATACACGTTCTTTGTAATGGAGCGAAAAAATCTATAAATCGATGCATTAAGAAGTCGTACACAAAACTAAAATTTATATATTAGCACAATTAAGAAAGCCTTATTATTTATTGACTTTTCATTATTAGAATAAACAAAACAGTTTTTAGAAGTTCATCACATCAAAATAAAATTAAGTGTTTCAGTATTTGGCATACTGCTGTTGCCCGACGCCAACTCATAATAGTCAAAATTTACCGATTTCTATCAATTTTTTTGGTACTTATGCTTTTAAGAATTCTAGAACTTATGAGGGGCCCTAAAAACTTACTTCTGCAACAATAAAGCTGTACAGCATTGACGCAGTTTTAATGGTACCAAATATACTATTATGATACTATGTATCTGCCGACCAGACTCAATAGAGGTAAGGGAACTGGCCTTGCACCAGAAACGTTCTGGGTTCGAATCCCGGACAAGGCACAGATGTTCTTTCATTCTCTGTACTTTATGTCCTTACTGTGGGAGACCTAATGTGGTCCCCCTAAAAGAGTAGCCAACAAATATGCCTGAATTGACTGTTAACCCAGGTGGGCATTAGAAAAAAAATACTATGTACCTGTATTAATAGATTTGTTCACATATTAAGACTACACCAATTACTATAATACCAGCAGTTGTGTATTACCAAAATTAGGCATCATCCGCAACAAAAAAAGCATGGCGACTTTTTACGTTTCTCCTAAACCAATTAGTACCATTTCTCCATTAACTTAGCTCTTTTGCACAGAAATTATTTTTCTTATTTCAATCAGTACATAGTACTGAAACTAATTAAACATCAATCACATAATGGTATGGCTGTTTTTATATTTCTCTTTAAATAATGAGTAGTACTTTTTCTCCATTAATTTTGTCTTTTGGTACATATACATAGACTTAGGGTGTCTGGCTACCAAATGTCTACTATTACCATTTAATTAAACGTCATTGGTGTTAACAGTATGGCGATTTTTTACACTTTTAACTTATTAATGCCATTTGACCATTAATTTTCCTTTTCTGTACATGACTTATTTTCTTAAATTCATTTTAAGATATTTTAATAGGAACGCTTTTTAAAAGCATAACTGTTTACAAAATAAACATGTGGTTTCAGATATATGGTGACATAGTCCACCTTTGCTATCATGTTCAAATTGATAGTTTAGTTTACCTGTTATAACCATTAAAATTTCTTAAATATTGAAGAATGTGCAATAAACTGCTTTTACTCGACATAGAGCTAGCAAACAACTGTCAACTTTAAAATATTTGGAAAAAATTAAATAGAATACAATGGTAATGGTATAACATGATAGCTAATGCATAAGCAATGGGAAAATTTCATAACCGAAAAAATTTAATTAATGGGTTTCCTCCTGAAATGAAGTCTTTTCAAAAAAATTTTCCACAAATTTTCTAATATTTAAATAATTAGAGATAAGAAATATGCTAATTATATTTTAAACTAAAAATTCACACTTTAAATTAAAGATATTTACAAAACATATCATCAATACTATATGTTATCAATGCAGAGTTAATTCTAGAACAGATGGGTAGGACGCACAGCACTGTTGTTGATTATCCATTTCAACATGGACTTTCAAATTGAGATAGCTAAATTAACAAATATGATATATGTATAAATTATATGTTATTATAATACACGAATTTAGAATTTCAGTTAATACATTTTTAACTACTGGATTCGCAAATATATCTGATTGTTTCAATTGTTCTGATTGATCAATATCTGATTGTTTTTTACATACGTCTTTTGGTTTCTCATATTTTGATATTTTAAATTGCATACGACACACTATGTTATTAAGACACCCAAATTTCGGATTTTAGAATCAACTATTTGCTTAAGATTTACTGGAAAATCATTTTTTGACACACCTGATTCCATCGGTCTGTTCCATCATCAATTTTCTGTTTTATGATTATTTATTTCAGCCACTTCCACTTGTTTTTTCTAATTTCGATATTTACAATATTATTACAACATATGTTAAATTTTAAGGTATTACTTTTGGATGTGATATATTCGCACCGATTCTAAAGTAAATTCTATTTAGATTTTTTGTCAACCCTTTTAATACGACATTTTCAGGGATGAGAGTAATTGGAAAGTAAAAAAGAGGAAATTCAAGAATATATATATATATATAATTTTAAAATTGCATGAATATATAAATATGATTCACATGCATGATTTTAAATTAAGAGAATATGAATCACGAAATGAGGTTTTTAAATCACGTGAATATGAAACTCTATATCGAATTTAAAAAATACGAAAATACAAATCATGATGCGTAATTTTTAGATCACGATGCATAATTTTTAAACAGCGTGAATACGAATCCCACTGTCTAATTTTTAAAGCACGTATAAATAGGAAAATCGATGTTTGATAATACAACCGCAAAAACGAATCACGGCATTGGATTTTAAGCTCGCGTGAATACGAATTGCTACATAGGGTTTTAAAAGTGCGTAATTACAAATCGCGATATTGGATTTTTAAATCTCGTAAATAAGACAATGTTCGACATTTAAATCGCCTGATTAAGAATCGCAACGTTCAACTTTTAAATCAGGTAAATACGAAAATCAATGTTTGAGGGAGGAATGAGAACTTCAATACTTTCGCTTCGCAGAAAATTTAATTCCTGATAAAATATTTTAACTTGTGCAAAAAAAAATGTCAGCGGGAAAAATCTGAAAAAAAGCGGAAATCCGCGGAAGAATCACATCCCTGCATTTTCAATTCCAGTATTTAATACGTTCTTATATACGTTAACTAATAAATTTCATTAATTTAGTACAATATTAACTTTTTAATGCACTCTGCTATGGAGAAAAAAACTAACATGTTAAGTAACATTCAAATGAAAATTGCTTGCTATTTTGGAGCAACGAAACTGATTTTTGTGCATAATTTGGTGCCAAATCAGGCCAAAGTTGCACTATTTGGTTAACTAATGTTAATAAAGTTTGGAGCAACGTTGGAAAAAAAATGGTATTTTGGAACAGGCTGGAGCAGAAATTTCATTTTGGAGAGTATACATAGGATTGTTTAATTTCATTGAAGGAAATTAAACAATCCTATGTATACTCACTATTATTTCATCATATCAATTTTAAATACTAGCTATAGATTATATCATGTGCTTTAAATCAAAAATTATCAATAAATAAAATGCTAGTCAAATTCATTATTCATGATATTATGAACACGGATATTACTACACAACCAGTCTGAAACAAAAATTAGTAAACTTTTTTACTTTTAAGATTGACCAATGTTTCTTTAATAGAATAGCCCATTCATTAGATTTCATTTAGCTAAAAAATTATATTATACCAGCAAGCTACACTGTTACTGAAAACACACTTAGTCTTTAAATAAATCAAATATTTAAAAATATTTGATTTAATTATTCAAACTCATACAAATAAGTTCAAAACGTAGTAATAAATATGTAAAATTTATTGTACAAGAAAGCATAATTAAAGTAAAGTCATGATTCATCTTTTTCTTTCCTTTTTCCACAAGTAAACAGGGGCGCTAGTTTTGGTAGCTCCTTTAATCAGCTTAACTTCCGGTTCATTTTTATTCTGAAAATAAGACAAATTCATTGGATTACTTTAGAGTATCAAGCATTTTTATAATTAAAACAAATATAATTCTCATTCCATATTAAGAGTAAAACAACAAAAGGTGTATTGTCTGTCTAAACAAAGAACTCTTTCTGGCACAGAGTCTGTTGGTATGAAAACAATGCACATCTTAAAGAGGGGAGTTCTTGATACTTTTGTTTAGTCAGAACATATCCTAAATTTTTATCCAATGCCCCTGTAGTGAGTCACTGGCAATGGTCTAGACAGCTAGAGGGAGGAGTTCCCTTGTAAGATGTGCAGTAACTGAGTTTCATTCAACAATAATCAATGGAAGCAAATTTACATTCAAAAAGTACAGAGCCCTGATTATAAAAACATCTTTAATCCAATGTGGATGTAGATTTTAAAGTTTTTTTTTTGCATGCAAACTTAGTTTTCTTTACTTGATTTCAATAATATGATGCAATAATGCAGTTATACATAAGACCTTCAAATCCAAACATTATTTGTACTATGAATGACCACAAACATTCAGAGCAACAATTCTCTGATTTTTCCTAACTGATCTTATCAAATTTTTCTAGTTTTTTTTTTAAACCAGTGACATAAATTTTATAAATATTTCAGCTATGCCTTATTCTTAAACATGAATTACACTATACTTAGAAAATATGAAGGTTAATATATAGCATAAATGTTTAATACAATAATGAACACTTTTACTTGCCATTAGAATTGATCTGGGCTACTTTTAATAAATTTCAAAATTAAAAGATATTTAAAAATAATTTATCAAAAATAATTGTAAAGAATAATTTTGCCAACATATAATGAGATTTTAAAAACACATCTGGGCTTTGGATACAATTTTAAAAAATAACATGTAAAGGGAATTTTTAAAAAATTTTACAGGTTAAAACATATTAAGAAAATATTTTTAGAGACGTGAATACTGAAAAATATAACAAACCATTAATTTCTTTTTCATATCTAATTTCTGGCTTAGAACTGAAAGCTCCTGAGCTCTATCAATTCGTTTGCTTAGTTCACTGTAATGTTGAGAGATTTGCTTTGACATTTTCTGTAACATAAATAAAAAAATATTGTTAAAAAACAAAAATCTGAAAATCTATATCTAACAAAAATCTGAAATAATGCGAATGATGTAGAATCTATAATTTGCAAGGATCTTTGAACAAAGGCAACATGGGGGGGGGGAGCTGATATATATTCCCATGTACAAGCTGAGGAGGCCCCCTTACGCCAAACATTAAATCAGCTTTATAAATATATATTATGTATGTCAGGTGGCACAAAAAATGAGTTTGTCCAGGGTCCTGTAAGACTTATCAGTCAGTGGAAAACAGAAAAATCCTTATTGAATCTAGTTGCTTGTTAATTCTGAATTCATTGATGGAACAAAACAAAATATGTAAAGAAGAATAAAATACAGCATTTACGAAATCTTTATCAAGAAGTTACGATTTATTTATCAGCACTTTCGCACACAAGCTATAGGGAGGCAAATGTACTAAAAAATGTAGGGGTACGGGAAAAAGGAAAGTTAACATGCACTCCTGGATCGTGTAATTCTCCAACAGAAAAAATATTAAAACAAAAATAGCACAAAATTGTTGGCAAATTTAAACATAACTTCAAAAAAGCATTTTTTATTTTTTAAGAATAGCAGAAGGAGAAAATGAAAATAAGTTTTGATTTGAATTGATAAAGAAATAGTGATTTTAATCTTGTTTAGTTATTATTTTTGAATCTACTATAAACCATATTTTTTCCTAATCATAAAATATTTATTTCTTATATATATATATTTAAAGATTTGTATTGCTTTGAATACAAATTCCCCTTTAGTAAAAAAGGACCAAAAAATTCAGAACTCCTGTGCCGTAAAGAGCAGGACTAGTGAAATTGTTGATTTATCAAAGGTTAATTGCTTATGCTTATTGTAGCAAAATTTTGCTTAATTTCATTTTCATAGAAAATGTAATTAAGCAACTACTAAAAGAGATCATTTGTCTACTAAAAGATATCAGTTGGCAAAAAAAAGAAGGATAAAACATTAATGGATTTATAACACGGTACCAAACAAAAGGCCACATTTTCCTTAATAATACAGAATTTCACTCAATGTGATATTGTTAGCCGTGGATTTCACAGTAAAAATATTTGCAATATTTTAGATTTATTTTCTGCATTAAAACAATAAAATAATATTGCTAAAGATTCACTAACATAATGCTACATAAGTTTTCCTTTAAAATTCTATAATTTAAAGCATTCATTCAAAAGTATATAGTATAGAAGCATGTTATTAAAATGTGTTAAAGATATAAATGTCTATTGAAATGGTCAATTTTAGTAGATGAAGGGGGTAAACCTCTCTGGTTTATATTATTAAAAGCAAATTTTAAAAATCACCAGTCATTAAACAAATTTTAAGAATCAAAAGAGCTCCAAATCCACATAAAAAGGTACATTTATTTAGAGAAAGTGAGAATTTTTGTCTGATTTTGCATCTTAAGAAATCCTCAGCATAAATGATTAGCACCGTTAAAAAAAAACCTAAAATCATTAAGATTACATGATTGTATGTGAAAATTTGATAATCATATAAAACAATATTCAAGTGTTCAAAGAAAGAAAAAAATACTCAAGTTGCATTCTTTATCTAACACACTGTACAGAAACAAAATCTTTCAGTCTGCAATATGAAATAGATTCTTTCTGAACTTACCAGTTTAAGAAAACTAGCACACTTTAACTGGTGAAGAATCCATTTTTGTAAGTACAGATAAGTTCAATACATGCATTAAAAAAAAAGCTCATTGAAATATGTTTCTATTTCAAAGATAAAAATACATCTTTAAAAAAAATCACTTATAATTTTAAAGACATTTTAAGCAGCATTATCAAATTAAGCATAATTGAAAGGATTGGAGAAATATAATGATGAGCCATATTTTCCCAGCATAAAATGTTAAATGTGTCGAAGCATTGTTTCCCAATAGGCACTTTACAAGTTTCTGAGATTTTTACTAGATAACAGTGCAATATACATAAAACATACTACTCTTTACATTAAAAGTTCGCTGATTTACACCGAAAAATAAGTTTAAATTGTGGCTTATTATATTTCACCAAACCACTTATTTGTAAAAAATATAATACTTGTAGGGTATCCTTTTGAACTGAATTCTTGAGGTTCATGTTTTTCAAAGCATCTAATGTTGGTCGGTTATAAGCCCTGTCCAGAAGATCTGGATGTGTATTCAAATACTTTGCAGGATTAAATTTTTTAGCTAGTTAAAAGTAAAGAAAATATTATAATAATTTAAACAAAAAATCTAGTTACAAAATGAATAAATATTCCAATGTATTTGTTAAAAAACGCTAAGCAATATTTCCAGATTAGATAATTGCTATAAAAGGAAAATTAATAGTTATATTTAATAATATTATTATATTATANTAGTTGGGTTTAACAATAAAAAAACGGCTTTTTGTAGCAATTCAGAAAACCGGAAAAATCAGTTATCCGGAATAGCGATGGTCCCGATGGTTCCGGATAATCGGTTCCCTACTGTATAAAAAATAAAATAAAAAATGTAACGAAAAATCGGATGAAAAAGAAAATCACCTTCTGATTTTGAGTCTACATAAAAGGTATGAACATTATTTGGCCTATCTTCAACATCTAAAATTGAAACCTCTGCTTTCAATTTTTCGATTTTCTGAAAAAATAAATTTATATTAGGACATAGAGTGAAAAATAGTGTAACTCTGTTACCAGCATTTTGCATACAAAATATAAAAATACAGATTTTAAATTTTTTTTAGTAAGTACGGGAAATATTGACAGAACAATGACTTAACCTAAAACTAAAAAAAGAAAGAAAAAACATTTAAGGCATGTACTGTAAACTGAACTGTTTAATAATGTGGGCAAATCAATAATTTTCTTAGGATTTTAACTGTAACATAGCATGCATAAAAAATATACATATTGCTTATTTATCAATTCAGATAATAAAATTATAAGATTATTAAAAAAATTATGCAAAACAATTACATTAATGATCAATTTCATTTTTTCCAAAAAAAAAAAAAAAAAAAAAAAAAAAAAAAAAAAAAAAAAAAAAAAAAAAAAANAAAAAAAAAAAAAAAAAACTAACAAGAAAATAATGAAGCAACAAATGAAAAACACAAAATAATTAGAGGATGTATATACATGAAAAATATGAAGAAACAAAGTTTGAAAAATAAATCACAGAAAAAATAACTGTAAATAAATCAAATAACATATATTGCTCTTACATGCTCCAGCAATATAACTGAATAATTCATTTCAAAGTTAGACAAGTACTCTTATTCACAAAATAAAATTATTCACATAACAAAATTAATGAACATATTCATTTTCAGAGTTACTTTCATTTAATAAACCTTAGTAACCTAAACATAAAAGTAAAGTAAATTCTTAACTTACATTGGGGCTTTATAAATAAAAGGATAAAAATCTCAAATTTAAAAACAAAAAAAACATTAATCAAAGGACTTATAGTCATAGGTTAGTTCAACTAAATCAAAGAAAACTTTGACTGCCTCTATTATTTTGTGTTTTATTGTGATACGAGCTCTTTCATAAGATTAAGAGTAAAACATTGGAGGCAGCTTAAAAGCCTCTTAAGCAAGCCGACCAGCTTTCTTTGCTTGGGATACCACAATGGCTAAGAATCCACTGGTAATTTTCGGTTTGAATTAATGATATTGCAGTCATAAGTATGCATAATAGAAAGAGTTATTGCGAAGGACCAAAATCGCGTTTTGAGAATCAATAAAAAAGATAGTCTTCTTGTAATATGTGATGGAAGGAGAAGAGTTAATTAATAGCTTCTATCTCAGCTTCGAAAATCATTGAGTTTAACCAAACTATTGAAAAGTCCTTAAAAACACCATTAATAAGCAACTCACTAAAAACTAGAGTCATCATCAAGTTTTGATAAATAGCCCATATATGTATCAAAAATATATAAAAGGGTGTCAAAATGCAATATTATCTAACCGTCTCCTTCTCAATGATATTTAGTTTTATGCCAACACAGAGTAGAATAAATTTTTTCCTCTTAATTCATTTAATTATACAATCCAAATATAAAAATTAAATAAACAATGTAAAATCGATTAAAAAACACAAAATAGTTGCACATGGACTAACAGCAAACCATAAAAATGTAACACAACTTAAAACAACTAGTTTGAAGAATTACACTGTTAAAAATATAATTGAAGTTTTTTTATTTTTTTTATTGAGATAAATTTAAAGGCATAAGTGTATGAAAATGACACATACTCTTAATTCAGTACCAAGTTTATAATTCACGTAGTTTGTATCCTGAGTCTGCATTAATTTTAATTGAGCATCCGTATGTTCTTCAGGTTTTTCTTTTTCATAATGAAGGCCATCCTAAATAAACATATTTAGATTTAAATATACAACAAATAAAAACATAAAGAAAATATGAAAACAAATCTTTAACATAGCTTCTTAGATTGTTTTTAAAAAAAGATGTTCAACATTAATGTCTAGTAATATGAAAAATTCATAACAATAATAAAAGTAAACAGGAAAATTCAGAAAATTTAATATTCTTATAATTGCACCTAAAATAGTCTAAATGAGGTAAATACCCTGTGGCAGAATTTTTTTTTGGCTTTCTGCAAGATACTTTTAATAATAACAAATATATGTTATCAATTTAAAGTAACAGAAATGCTGTGTTTACAACAAAAAAAACACCTGGATAAAATAAAATTGTATATATTTTTTAAAAAATAAATAAATAAGCAATAATTTTTTTATTCTAATAATATGGGAGATGATTCACACTTTCTGTAGGAGGAAAACACACTAATTATTTCCTTTTTCACATTTCGTAAATCATTATGACTTCAAAAAAAAATAATAATTAAAAATCTTGAAATGCATAGCAGTAACTACAAATATATATATATGTATATTATCGACGACAAAATTGTGCAAATTGGACTCTTTAAAAAGGGGGTACTGAATGGTGTTTCAGTTCATGATCCAGTTGTTGTAATAAATAATATTGTATTAAAAAACTGTGTGGAAAAAAGTGAAAGAATCATTGGGTTAAAATTTAAATATTCATATGCATGATTTGAATTTCCTATATTGTTAGAAATATATCGGGATATTTAAAAACCACGTGAAAATCAAGATCAATAGCTGACTAAAATACAATCGAAACACTACATGGATTTGTGATAGTATTGACATAACGTGAGCTCTTCAAAAAGTAATTATTCAAATGCTCGATTTGAATTTTACGTGTAGAAATAATATTAACTGAGAAATTACCGGAATTATAAAAACCCGTGCAATTTGATAGCACTAGCAATAAATAGCAAAAAAAAAAAAAAAAAAAAAAAAAAAAAAAAAAAAAAACACTAAAATCATCAAAATCAAAAGTAAAGAATTAATTTTATAATTGAAGAAATCCTTGATATTTTCAAAACATGAAAATTTAAATAAATTATATGCAGTATAATTTAAATGACTAATTATGTATAGGTAAGTTTACTTTATCCCTAATCACATTTATTATGCTATAAAAAAAAATATTTACAAATGAAAGAGATGCCAAGTATAGATTCTAATTCTAATATTTTTTAAAAAAATACACAAAAATTTGTATACATAAATGAGATCGACAATTTCTTGAATCTTCAGGACTTTGGATTTCCGGATCGTGGTTAGCGAAAAATTCAAATTTTTTGTGGAGCACAATCATTTGCTGAAAATTATTCAATTATTGATATTTTTGTCCATATATAATTTGATCAGGATTAATCATTTTAGGAACATATCTACAAAAAAGATAATCATAGAAAATTGACGACCTTAAAACATGGAGATATAGACAGTAAGCTATGGAATTTGAAAATTTTAATCATCCATATTTTCTTTAAAATAATACCCAGCTTAAAACCCACTTTATATAGTGCTAGTCACAAGCATATTTCTAAAGACAAAAATAGCGATGTTAGGACGAACAAGACAAATTGTTTCATTATAATTTGAAAAGAGTAATACACTTAACAAAGGCAAATAACTCCTAAGTAGAGTATAAAATAACTTTAAAAAGGTTATTTTAAAATTTCAAAATTATTGCCACAAGTTCACGATGAATGAAAAAGTTTTTAAAAAAATTCGTTAACATTTTTTAAAAAATAGGTAAAATTTTGAAAAGAAAAAATATTATGGAACATTTTTGAAAGAAAATTTTTCTGTGTTATACAGCAAGCGAAGTGTTGTCTTTACTATAATTAGTAAGTAATCCTTTTCTTAATTAGCTGATAAATTAATAATTAATTCAATACTGTATTGGATTTTCAATGCAAAACAAACAAAATAATTAGTTTTAATTTGCACTAGATACTTAAAATAATCTTCATCTGTAAGTTGCATAAGCTCTCTAGAAAATCCTAACATCCCCCTGGGAGTTAAGGGGTGGTAGTGTCGACACTGAGAACTTAGGACATAACATAATATGTCCTAAGTTTAACTTTTAATACTTAAAGAAACTAAATAATGCATTATAAAAGTATTTTTAAATAGTCTACAGTATTTAATTATGTTTAAAAATTTATTATTTTACCTTTGTTTCTGAATTAATCATATGAAATACAAATTCATCAGGATTCTTGTTCTTGGCTTTACGATAGAGTTTTTTCAACTTATTTTGCTTGTCATGATAAGCTCTAAACAAAAATATCATATTTATTAAAAGAATTACCAAATTGAAAACTTTAAAAGCACAGAGAAAAAGACAAATACATAATTGTTTGATTTTTCTGTAAACTTTTATGAAGGACAGTTTGAGAGACATTCCTTTATTGCCAGCAGGGATCAAAGCAAGGAAATTAGGGTCAGCAGTCAGATGCTCTAACTACCTGTCCCCATGGCTGTTAGAGAAAATAGAAGGGGACTTTTGAGAACAAAGTTAGATGGTCTAAACACAAGGTTCAATCCCTGCAAGAAGACAGCGAACATCTCTCACAGGCTATCACAAATATGCAATTGAGCTAAAAAAATAAAACTTATTTTTCACATAAATCAAAAAGGGGATATATTCGTATCGTGGTCTGGTGCACCAACTATAACTGCCACGACACAAAATGTATTTGTATCGATAATTATTTATATTAATAATAATTAATTTTAAAAATAAAAATCATGTAGAGGTTTTTCTGAGGATGGCTAAGAGTTAACCCTTCGAATTGGTCTCTTATTTTTCGTTCTTCAAGTGCCGCTGCCCGAAAAAGGAAGGTTATTCTGTCGAAGACCACGATACGGATATCTTTACACCAAACAATTCATATAAAACTGAGCTGTAGTTCATTGTTAGAAGATGATAATTTAAACATGTTTTAAATTTGTGATTGGAAAGTAGTAAAGGTGAACAGGGGCCTTTCAAAAAGTACGTACATCCCGAAGGGAGGGGGAGGGATTTGCTATTTTGTATGATAGGGAGGGGGGAGGTATTATACAAAGTACGTACATTATAAGCATACACCAAATTTAAATTTGACTTTTTCCTACATACTCTTTAAATAAATATTTTATTTTAAACATAATTATTTTAATTTTTATGAAAAAAGGGGGTAGACTAATAAAATGTACGAAATACAAAGACCTTATGTATGGTAATGTACGAAAGGGGGGTTAAAATTTCTCCATTTTTGTGTATGTACTTTTTGAACTGCCCCTAAAACTACATTCCTCAAAACAAGATACAAAATTGCTAAAATAAGGGAGGAATAACATTAATAATAATTTAAGGGTAAGAAAAGTGAACTTAAATAACTAGTTCAAAGTTTGTAGATAAGCTAAAAGAATAATTACTTTGCTCGCAATTTATAGTCTCTTTTCTTTTCTAGAAGACCAAGGTGTTTTCTGGCTTCAGGCTGAAAAAAAGGTAAAAAACATTCGATTCATTAACTAATACAAAATGTAATATAAGCATGGGAACGTAAGACACATTAACAGAACATATTTTTATATAAAAAGAAGAAATAATGAACCATACTTGATGCCTCTCCTGATATTCTCGCTGGCCACTTTTGTTAGCCTTTTTCCAAGACGACATAATGAATTTACAAAAACGAATCAACAAATCAAACCAGCCACGATTTTTAAAAACAATTATAAACAAATTCAGATGAAAAACAAAAAAAAGATGTAGTCAAAGTTGCAGTTAGGGATTCAGTTACAAGGTGTTCTCTTCAACACTAGTGCTCCAGGCAGCTATATTCACATTTAGTAAAGGTATGACTTAATGCTCGAGTGCGCCATCTGCGGAGTAGGCAGGTTCCATGTCTTAGGCCACTCTCCCTTCTCTCTCCTCTTGTCAGTTGTATAGGATGTACTATGATATTTTTCCTTTTCTTAATATTTTGTTTTCAATTAAAAATAAATTTTTTTTCAGATTTCCTTGATGCTTTCTTTTAGAACTATGTTTATTGTAGTTTTCAGTTCGGTATAGTTAACTTAAACGATTTTAATCTATATGAAAATCAAGACTGAAACAAACGTACTTCCTTCTTCTACGACTATCTATACGCTGATGGTGAAAGCATGCAAAATGTTGCCAGAGGTAGAGTTATACTCTACTCTACCTGAAGCCCATTTCAATCGCCAATTATTCAATTCCAATTTATTAGTATATAAAACATGTCAACTGGGATTTATAAAGAGGTATCTTTTAGATAGAGGTTTAATATCTTCCCTTGGGTCATTTGAATTTAACCATATATTTGCTGAGACCATTACAGAAGAATAACTGATGAGTGGTGAGAACTGGGGAAGGGGAGCGTTCAATTCAAGTTACATGTTCCCATCCGATTCAAATCTAAATCCAAGATGGGGATATGCATTTCTCTAATCAGATTCGCATTCAAAGACGTGTAGAATATGGGAATTACCTCTTAAAGCTTCTAAGCCGTTTATGTGATCGCACGTAAATGCAATCGCGCACACACGAGATACGCTATTCAACAGTTGCACTTGCGTGAAGATGAGTGGCATAAAATGAAATTGGCAACTACGATTGCCGACGTGAGGAAAAGAATACCAGATTTAAGATTTTTCTTTGCTGAAGAATATATTTCACTAAGAAATTCTCATTCGTTCTCTGAGGTGAGCGAATCGTATGTAAGAATGTCCCTTAGGAAGCATTCATACAGCTTGCAAAAAATTAAACCATTGTGCAGCTCTAGTGCGACGTAAAGTAACAACAGCAAAAAATTAAAGTATGCAAATTCGGAGATGCGAGTGAGAACTTATTCGTAACTGAAATGGGTTACAGGTTGAGTAGAGTAGAACTCTCTATTTATGGCAACACTTCGCATGCTTTCACCAGTAACGTGTGGAGAGTCATAGAAGTAACAAGTATGTTAGTTTCTGTCTTGATTTTCAACTAGATTAAAATCTTTTAAGTTAGGAAACTATACGGAACTGAAAACTACATTGAACATAGTTCTACTAGAAAGCGTCACGGAAATTTAGAAAAATATTTATAGCAAGTAAATGCGAAAAATAATAAGAAAAGGAAAAATATCGTAGTACATTCTTATACCACTGAAAAGAGGAGGAGATGGAAGGGCACTGAGAATTGGTCTTCTATCTAGATGGAGTATTCGAGCGCTGTGGTTTTTTATTGAAGAAATATATTTATTTCAAAAAAACTCGTCACTCACGTTCTTGTTCGCATCTCTAAATTCAAGTATACGATTATTTTTCAGAGAGTATCAAATGACATTTTAAATAGGACCGTGGAGGTATCAGACCGGTTAGAGAATTGAACTCCTGTTCGCAGGGACCGGGGTTACATGCTCGACTCCACTAAGACTCACCGAGTACATACGATATACGTGCTTGTAAAATCTGTGGAATCGAAGGTCCTGTGGTTGGTCGCTGCGTAGTACCATGGGTACAGGGATTTGAAGAAAGCTTTCTTTTTCAGATCTATATCTAAACTGTGGATGTGACCTCGTAAAATTGCATGGTGTGTCTTTGGAGTATCCTCAAGAATGTTTCCCAGACCGTCATTAATAGCCCATTGGGCAGCCCTAGGGAGCAGACCGGTTCCATGCTTTGACCCTACCCCTTTGCTTTTTCTCCTCTGCTCAGTTGTGTGTGAATGTACTGCAAACTTTTCTGTTCCATAATATTTTTCGCATTTAATTGTCGAAAATATTTTCTAAAATTTCCTCGACGCCTCCTTTTGAAACTATGTTTAAAGCAGTTTTGAGTTCCACACAGCATTATAATTTAAAAAATTTAATCCGTTTGAATACGAAACCAAGATAGAAACTAACGTACTTCCTTCTCCTATGACTCTCCACACGCTGGTGGTGAAAGCATGCAAAGTGTTGACATAGGTAAAGAGTTCTGCTCTGCGCCACCTGTAGCCCATTTCGATCACCAATTACTGATTTCATCAAATTGATTTAAGCATTTTTTTATAATCGAATCATATACTAATTCATTTTACGTGCGAGAAACAAATTAAAAAGTCAAAACTGCTTTTTGCAGCATGAAAAGAAGCAGGGATGCTACATTTTTTGCAAAATATTGTACAGAGTGGTAGACATTTAAAAACCAAATCTTTCATCATTTTTGATAATTTTTCCAACATTTTAAATGCCTTATCACGAAAAAGTTAGTACAGAGGAGCGTTGCATATGAACTTTTAAATTATTTATATGTAGTTATATGGAAAATAAGTTTAAATTTAGTAAAAAATAATGTCTTAAAACATAATCATAGCTACCACTGGAATTAAGTATTACAAGAAGCAAAGAATGCTGGCAGCCTTGGAGGAAGAATGAAATTTTTTGAACTTGGTTCTGCACCTGATGTCAGTTATCAATATCAATTTTAATAACCGATATCTTTGTTGTGTGAATAAAATTATATTCTTCTTAAATCGCAGCATGATCGTGAAGACACGGCTTCCAGTTGAACACCGAAGTCAAGTTTCACTGGCTGTAGTCAGTAAGCGGGTGGTTGATCACTTTGATCAGCCTGCGTAGGGACCAAGACTACGCAGTAACGATCTCAGTTTAAATGTTCTTTTGTGTAAAGTGCTTGACTTCACGTGCTGAACGTTGGGCTACCAAAGCGAAGGAGCCATCACCTTTGCAGAGGATCAAAAATGGGACGGCCTGTCTTCAGATCATCCTCAGAGATGTTTCCGTAACAGTCGACGATAGCCTAATGTGAAACTCTAGCGTGACGTAAATAAAGTACCTACCTAGCATAAATATATGAGTGTCCTCAAATCATAACATTTTTTAGGATAATCCCCAGATTTATTCTCAAATCATGGTTAGGAAATCTAGTGACCTTAATCATGTATGAACTCTCTTCTTTTTCTCTATCAGCAAAATTGAACTAATAGAAATTAGACCAATATTCTTAATTGAATAAAGGCTAGATTACCCGTTAAATGCAAATATTTTACTAGGCCTTCTTTCAGATTTGAAGGCCGCTCTCAATGAATGAGATTGTTTCACCTCCAATCGCTGTCAGGAGAAATGGTGAAACTGATTGGTGAGTTTATCACGGAAAAATATATTTCATCAATCAGGTGCTCTGCTATACAAGGCTTTTATTAAGTTTATAAAAGTTAGAAAATTTCTTTCAGCCTTTGTAAGGGAAATCTTACATAGACTAAACTGATTTACCCGATATTTTATTGGCGATCGAAATGGGCTACCGGTGGGGTAGAGCAAAACTCTCTATCTATGGAAATAATTTTTCATGCTTTCACCTTTAGCTTGATTGCAGTCATAGTAGAAAAAAAAGTACGTAAGTTTCTTTATTGATTTTCAAATAGATAAAAAATTGTTATGTTAGGAAACTATACTGAACTCAGAGTTGCATCAAACATAGTTCTTGAAAAAGCGTCGTGGAAATTTTAAAAAATATTTTTGACCATTAAATATGAAAAATGTTATGGAAGGGGAAAATATTGCAGTACATTCCCATACAACTGAAAAAAGGAGGAGAAGGAAGGAGAGATGGTTGAGACATGCAATCGGTTTTCTCTCCTGACGGCGCATTCGAGCTTAGAAATCTATTCGCGATCGCAGCGTGCGAAAACCCCACCTGGGGAGAAGACCGGTTCCATGGCTTGACCCTTCCCTTTTCTCCTTTTCTCAGTTGTATAGAAATGTACTAGGATATTCTCACCTTTCTTAATATTTTTCGTATTTAATTGTCACAAATATTTTTTTTTAAATTTCCACGACGCTTTCTTTTGGAATTGAATTTCTTCAATGTAGTTTTCAGTTGCATATATAGTTTCCCAACTTAAAAGTTCTTAATCTATTTGAAAATCAAGACAGAAACTAACGTATTTCCTTCTTATATGATTCTCCACATGCTGATGGTGAAAGCATGCGAAGTGTTGCCATTGGTTGAGAGTTCTGCTCTACGCCACCTATAGCCCATTTCGATCACCAATTAACTAGAGGAATGAATGCAGTCTTCTAACGTAACAAGTCTGAAAAGAAGCATGTCAAATATACACTCTTCGTGATGGTAAGTACCCTACCTTGCAAGGATTGGCAAAAATTAACCACGTGACGAAAAAGAGGCTTTTATCTTGTTCCTGAATTCTTGCATTACTTGAAACTGTCTTCACCCGGCAATGCTTGCCTAAGAGCTTGCTAGAAGAATTAGAAGTAAAAAATCAGGTTTTCAATCCTCTTAGGCTGTCACGCGCCTGAATTTTGACTTTCCTCAAAGTTGTCTTCGTCCAGTAATGCTTGTTTGAAAACAGGTTAGGAGAATTGAAGTTGAAAAATCAGGTTTTTAATCCTCTTGTGACCTTACACGCCTGAAGTCAGGCCTAATGTAAATGGAGGTGAGGAGTCTATGGCCCCGTTTACATGAGCAATCTATTAATCCGGGGTAAAAGAAGGGTACAGGGATTTTACAGGGCAATGTATAATCGGTAAGAAAACCCGTTTACACGCAAAAGAATTTCAACCCCGGATTTTCAAACAACTTCCTCTACGTCATTGGTCACATGATAAATCGGAAGTAAGAAAATATATCAGCTGGCTTCTTTTCTTTTTTTCCCGCCATTATTTGAAACAAATTAAAATATTTTCACGTTCCGAGTTCCAAAACAAAACACATGGGCCCAGAACGTAAACAATCACGTGACTCGCAATGCATTTCGGGAAAGCGAGGTGAGCTTAC